GTAGAACCAGCAAACTCATCTCTTGGAATCTATCCTTAGGAAACAATCAGAGATGTATTTGATGGTTTATTCACAAAGATACTGTTTGCTGCAAAAATTTTTAAAAAATAAATAAAGATACTGTGTCTCAGAGCATCGCCATGCAATTATCCTATTTGATTATTTGCATGGTGATTGTCTCTTCCCCCTGCCCCCCTTATGCTATCTGCCTCTACTAATTATGATGTAACAGTAAGTGTCAAGGAACAGAGCCAAGCTGGAGAGAACTGATCTGAGCTGTCAAGTGTCAGAGTAGCTAATTAAGACAAAACCCACTGCCATGGAGTTGATTCTGACTCATAGTGACCCCCACTGGGTTTCTGAGCAGTAAATGTCCCATGGAAGTACACTGCCTAATCTTGGTTCCGCAGAATGACTGGTGAGTTTGAACCAATCTTCTGGTTAGCAGTCAGGTGCTTTAGGCACTGTGCTGCCAGAGCTCCTTGTTGTTGTTGTTGTTGTTGTTGTTTGCCGTCGAGTCGGCCCCGACTCATAGCGACCCCTCCTTGGGTTTCCGAGGCAGTATCACTACGGAAGTAGGATTGCCCAACCTTCCTTCCGAGGAGTGGCTGGTGGGTCCAGAGCTCCTTAGTATATGGAATAAGCAAGAGAAACCTAGAGAAGGCAGTGACTTTTCCACTCCGTATTTCCTCAGGAACTGTGCCTGGAAGAGGGGTAGGTGGATCAGTGTAGACATGGAGCCCTATATCCCTGTGGAGCAAACCAAACTCACTGCCATTGAATTGGTCCCTACTCATAGCGTAGATTGTCCAGTCTTCCTTCCAAGGAGTGGCTGGTGGGTTTGAACCGCCAGCCTTCTGGTTAGCAGTCAAATGCCTTAGGCACAACGCTACCAGAGCTCCTATGTGGAGCAAAAGGGTCCTGCAGTTTTATTGACGAGCAGGTAGGAATACGGAGAGGGCAAGGGGAAAGGACTAAGAATAGAAAGGTACTGAGTATTGAGTCAGAATGGGGGAAAGTGTCTCCAAGTTTCTCCCCTTTCCCCATCAGGAGGTTTCAGCAGACACAGCTGCCTGGGCTGAGAATGCAGCCAGGTGAGAGAGCATGGCCGGCCGGGGTGGCCAGAAACCTTGACCCCTTCAGAGACCATAATCCATTGGCTATGCACCAAGGCTGGTTGGGGAGGGTGGCTTTCCCCCACAAGGTCTTCCAGGTAAAGTCTTTGTAATCATCTGTGGGCAGGCCTGGAAAATCACATGTAGATTTTGGGCTAGGAGCTGGACTCCTCAGAGACGTGTTGTTGTTGTTGTTAGGTGCCGTTGAGTCATCTCTGACTCATAGCGACCCCATGTACAACAGAACCGAATACTGTCCGGTCCTGCACCAACCTCACAATCCTTGCTTTGCCTGACTTCATCAACGCAGCCACTGTGTCAGTCCACCTCATTGAGGGTCTTCCCCTTTCATGATGACCCCCTGGTTTACCACGCCTGATATCATTCTCCAGGGACTCAATGATAGGCAATGCATATTTGCAGTGTGCCAAGTGCTGTGCTACACACTTTTTTATACATTGTGTAATGTAAGTCCCACAAAGACCTCACGAGAGTAGCGTGGTTAACAACACCATTCTACAGACGAATAAACTGAAGGCTGATTGGTGGCCAGGGAGTGATCAGCCCAGCTTGGATGAGAAAACCATACTTTTTGCTAAAAGCGCCCCATGAAAATGACACAAGGGGAAACGAGGAAATGATGTAAGAAAGTTCTGGGCTAGTGCCCCTATACATGCACTGCACGTCTTGTGACATTTCCAGAAGTGAATTTCAGCCTCATTCAGTAGCCCCAAAAATGTTACTTTGATATATTAGTACAGTAAAGGTATAAGCCATGGTCAAGAAATCATGGGTGGAGTTTGGTAGTACCCAGGTAATCTGAAAAGAAACAACTGAAACCGTTTGCTTTGGTGCAGGTCCTTATAGCTAATTTGTGCCCGGATACATGAGAGACCAGCAGAGGGCTGGGCAGGGCTGTCACAGTGCAAGGGCCCCTCAGTGCTAGCCCCACGTAAACCCAGGAGGCAGGACAGTGAGGGTGTGAGTACACACTCTCCCAGCCCTGGTGGCGTGTTGGACCCATCTCGTCCAAGCAAGAGCTCTCCTGGCTCTCAGGTTGGCTCTGCTGCATCCTGGCAGGCAGGAGTTTTACAGTTTCAAAGGGCCGGAGCCTGACCACCAGCCAGTGGAATAGCGGGGCAGGATGGGAGGGGCTTGTCTGTCATGCACCTCCTGGGCTGGGCCTGGCCACCCTGCAGAGGGCTATTTCTAGGGTAGAAGAAGTGATTTCTACCTGCACTGGAGAAAGTGGTTCACAGACTAGGGAAGGAATCCTGCCAACAGAGGGAGGTCTTTCGCAGCAGATTTGTCCAGTACAAAAAATGTATAGCAGCACACTACATCAGTAAAAATATGGTACTCACCTTAGACCGATCTTTGTGGCTAGGACTGTGGAGTCACAAAAGATTACGCCTCCCGTGCAAACCACGTGCCCATGAGAGCAGTTCCAGAAGAAAGGGGGCTGTGGGGCAGACAAGTCAATGGATACCTGCTGCCGGTGTCATTCTTAATAAACCACCTCCATTGCCCACAGTGTACAATATGCATACCTCTTCCATTACTTGTATGGTTTTATATTTTACATTAAAATGTTTAATCCCTCTGGAATCGACTTTGATGTAAGTATAAACATCTTATGCTTTATTTTACCAAATTAGCTAGCCAATTGCCTCAAAACAGCCTTACGATGAGTTGTAGAAAGAGGAACTGGTCAGAATCCGTCTTAATGAAATAATCCAAAGGATATTTATGACAAAAATCCTTATTCAAATATTTTTTAAACTAGCAAAACTTTGGAAATATTCTACATGTCTAGAAATAGGTTAAGTTATTAAATAATAGTACAGTTGCTCACTGGAATACTATATAGCTGTCAAAATAATATTCATTCTGTGTAGCGATATTTAAAGTGTTATTGATATTATATTAAGCGTACTACCCAAGATTTCACATCCGTGATACACTGGGCTTTTCGAAGTGGCAAGAAATAAAGTTATACTTTTTCATTGGCAAGGGATTTAGTTTAAGGATCCACAGGGAGGTAGGGAGAGAGGGCACAGTGGCACCTGCAGCCAAGTCAAGCAACACAGAGAACGAAACACTGTTGGGGCCTGGAGGTTAGTCAGACTGTTTCCTTCATACCCTGTGGGCCTACTTAGTACTTTATTAATTCCCGACTCATAGCGACCCCTCCTTGGGTTTCCGAGGCAGTATCACTACGGAAGTAGGATTGCCCAACCTTCCTTCCGAGGAGTGGCTGGTGGGTTTGAACCGCCAGCCTTCTGGTGAGCAGTCAAGTGCCTTAGGCACTACGCTACCAGAGCTCCTTACTTAGTACTAAGTGGCTCTGTTCCCTCTATGTGCTTTGTTATTGTGTACCAGATATTTGCTGTCTTTGTTTCTATACCATGAACTTATCTTGGAACTTAGAGCAAAGTCACAGCCATTGAAGTCCCATGGTTACCCTTTCAAAGACCAAAAAAGCCAAACCCATTGAGGTAGAGTTGATTGCAACTCATGGTCACCCCATGTGTCCCGAGTAGAACTGCCCCACAGGGTTTTCTTGGCTGTAATCTTAATGAAGGAGGCCTGGTGGCACAATGGGCTAGCACATGGATGCTAATAAAAAAAGATCATAGTTGGAACCCAATGCCTTAGAGTCAATTTAGACTCATAGCAACCCTATAGGACAGAATGGAAATGCCCCATAAGATTTCCAAGCCTGTAAATCCTTACGGAGGCAGACTGCCTCATCTTTCTCCCACAGAGGAGCTGTTGTTGTTGTTGTTATGTGCCGTCGAGTCAGACCTGACTCATAGCGACCCCTCCTTGGGTTTCCGAGGCAGTATCACTACAGAAGTAGATTGCCCCATCTTCCTTCCAAGGAGTGGCTGGTGGGTTTGAACTGCCAGCCTTCTGGTTAGCAGTCAAGTGCCTTAGCCACTATGCTACCAGAGCTAGTGGGTTCAAATCCCTGACCTTTTGGTTAACACCCAATGCTTTTAACCACTGTGCCAGCAAAGCTCCTTAGAAAACCCTATGGGGCAGTTCTATTCTGTCACAAGGGCTGTTATCAGGGCTGTTATCAGTGGACTGATATCTTAAGGAAAGCGGAAAGCATTCTTCGCACTTGAGTTTGGATAGTAGTTGAGCAAACCACTATGACTGCAAACACTTCAAAGGAGGTGGAGAGTTAGCCCTGCCTTAATCCACGGGTTCAATGTGAAGGCCATAATGGTTACAGGTATGAAAGAATCTTGAAGCAAAAGTGCCATTATTACTCAGAAAACTCCCCTTAAATTACTACATAGGACACGGCCACATCAGCAAAACACAGAACCTTATAAATATCTTGCTTGTAGAAAGCTGTCCTGTCCACAGGCCAAGTATTTTAAAATAACCACCCACTCAACTCACAAATTGCCAGCGTCCCAAGAGAAGAAACCATGGCAGTTTTGTAAAACCCACTACTCTGGCTGCACTTTGATCAGCCTCTGCCTACACGCTTGTTTCGGTTCCTCTGTCACAGACGTACAATTACTAAGTATCATTACGAAGTATGGTAATAGCTATAATTATTACAAAGACTGCCCGAGATGGGAAAGACAGGAGAAATCTAATTATCATATGGTCTGCTGACTAACTGGCCAGTCTGTTTGTATCAATTAAAACCTGAGTCCTATCTCCACCTTCGCCCGCATTTCCCCGGGGCAGGCAAGCCGAAGCCAGAAGATATCAAAGCAGGAACCTTGACCACTCTAGGGAAGAGGCCCAGACCACAGATTCGGCAACCGAGATGCAAAACCCTCCCAAGCTCCTAGAGAGGTCCCGGAAGCGCAGCGTAGTCCCGGAAGGCGAGGTGCTGACACACTTCCGGTCTTTGTGACTCATTGTGTCTGTGTCGAGGCGTCGGGAGGGCCTAGGTCTGTGTCCAGCGCCCTTCGGCCGGCCTGAACCCCAGAGTCAGCTCCCCTTTCTCGCCCAGCTCCCCCAAGCCGCCCCGGGGCTCACGGTGAGACTTGGGTCTGGCTTCTGGGGAGGGCGGGCGGGGGCGCAGGGATGTGTGCGTGAGGGTGGGCTCTGCAGCTGTGGCCCCAGGGTCTCCCTCCAGGCGGCCCGGGCGGAGTGTGAAGAGAGTCCATGCCCCTGTCCCCTCCCATGCCCGGCTGTAGGAAGCGTCGTCTCCCGGGGAGACGTCCCCAGCCCAGCTCCGGGTCCAGGCGGCGAGCGAGCGAGGGTTTAGAGGCCGGACTGGAATGGGGTGCCCCGGAGACCTTGGGTGCCTCGTCTGCAGTGTCGTCACATTCGTTTGGCGTTTCTGAGAGAACAGGGTCGTGAGCAACCTTGTTTTTTTGCTCTTCAGTCGTCGCCATTTGCTTTGATTCCGGTGAGATGATTTTTTTCCCCCTCCTCCGGAGTCATTCGGGACCTCAGGGTGTAAAACGCGAATGGCCGCGAGATGGACACGTTTTGAGGCGCTGCATACTTGTTTTCCGATCACCTGCTTTCCCCCACCCCCACCACCGAACGATGATGAAAACGTATTTGAAGCTTGGTCTTAGTGATACGGATCTAGCAGAGACGATGTCCATACGCCCCGTTCTCTCTCTCTCTTCTCTCTTTTTTTTTTTTGTGGAATTTTTAAAAAAGCTGGGAGATGAGGTGGATTTTTCATTTCTGGTAGTTCATCTCCCTTACGTGGAGTGCGTGAAGAGTGAAGGACATTTGTAGAAATTGCATTGGGCGATTAGGAGACTGACTAGTCGAGTGACCTTGGATAAGACAAGGCGTTCACCACCTCTCGATTTTGTCTTCAATAAAATTAACCCGATTTTCTCAAAAAGCCCTTCCAACTTTGAAAGTATTTGATTTGATCATTGTAACTGAAAAAGTCTGCTACAGTTTTGCCCGACATGACCCCCTCCCCTCCTTTCCTGCAGTGGCTCCAATACACAATAAGATACTTTCATTATGAAGGGTGGCTGTTCCATGGCCTGGGACCAAAGAAAGCATTTATTGTACAGGCCAGTGCTAGGCGGATTGGACGACTTCAATAAATAGTCGTAGAACTGAACTGTGGAGAATACACTGTAACCAGCAACAAAGCACTGTTAATCTTTGCTGGCCAAGTGTGGAGAAATAGCGTTATCACATAGGGACCCGTAATGAGAATTGGCCCCAGAGTGTTGCTCCAGGAGTTAGCTCTAAATTACTGTGCAGATTTTGTTCATCACTGCAAGCGGTTCTCACTGATCTTAAAATTTTCAGTTTTTCTCATATTTTATATTGCATCTAAATACAGGCTATGATTATGGTTAGTCTTACCTTGTCACTCTGAGGTTGTATCAATATCTTTTGGATAGGTACCTGTCTTTTAAAGGTAGCTTTTTCCATACTTTAAAACACCTTCTAAACTCACTGCCTTCGAGTTGGATCTGACTCATAGCAGCCCCTCCTTGGGTTTTCAAGGTGGTATCACTATGGAAATAGATTGCCAAACCTTCCGAGCCGTGGCTGGTGGGTTTGAACCGCCAGGCTTCTGGTTAGCAGTCAATGCTTTAGGCTCTGTTAAAAAAAAAAAAAAAAAAAAAAATTTGGTGGGTTGAACACATCAACTGCTGCGGAGGAGAAAAATGTAAACTTTTTACATTTAAGAAAAGTGTAAACTTTCAGTATTACACCCTAGAAGAGATCCTGGCCTGTTTAGAAAATAGTCTTTGGGATAAACTGAGTGTGTGACATCAAGCCCTTTTTGTAACAAAAGTTTGTATTTATCCTGGGTGAGAACTAGTACCTGGGAATAATTTTATCTAAAGCAGATTAGATGACAGAGTGTGTTCAGTTTTTAGGCTCAAAGGGACCCCAAGGGTAGTCTTCCTATACCTCCTTTGCACCCACCCTCCCCTGCCCCACCATCTGACAGGGAAGGACACCGAGTGCCGAGTGCGGGAAGGTTCAGTAACTTACTTGAACTTGTTGGCATTCAGGTGTGCCAGCCTGTGCTGCTTTCACTTACAGGATATCTCTCATTGCTTAATCTTTTCAGCAGACTGAAAATTAAAATGTACAGTTGCACCTCAAGTTTATTGCAAGGTTAAATATAATGACTTCTGTTTAAAAAAAGAAAAAACAACCAAATCCATTGCTCTTGAGTTGATTCCAACTCAGAGTGACCCTATAGGACAGAGTAGAACTAGCCCTTAGGTTTCCAAGGCTGATCTTTACAGAAGCTCATTGCCACGTTTTTCTCCTCCAGAGCAGCTGGTGGGTTTGAACCACCAACCTTTCAATTAGCAGCCAGAATGCTTAGCCATTGTGCCACGAGGGCTCCATAGTGGCTTCTGCTAAAAAAAACAACCACACCCATTGCCATCAAGTTGATTCTGACTCGTAGCGACCCTATAGGACAGAATAGAACAGCCCTATAGAATTTCCAAGGCTGTAAGTCCTTATGGAAGCAGCCTGCCTCATCTTTTTCCTGCTGAGCAGTTGGTGAGTTTGAACCGATGACCTTCTAGTTAGTAGCCCAGTGCTTTAACCACAGCACCACCAGACCAAATTCCAAGCCCTGTTTAAGTGTTTTGTGTATGTTAACTCATTTAATCTTCACAACAACTTTATGAGGCAAAATACTGTTTTTATCCCCATTATACAGATGGGGAAACTCAAGGAGAGGTTAGCTTGCCTGCCAGCCTTCTGGTTAGCAGTCAAATGCCTTAGGCACTATGCCACCAGAGCTCCCTTAAATGCAAGGCACTGCCACCGAGTTGGATCTGGATCCGACTCATAGTGACCTCTCCTTGGGTTTCTAAGGCAGTATCACTATGGAAGTAGATTGCCCAGCCTTCCTTTCAAGGAGTGACTGGTGGATTTGAACAGCCAGCTTTCTGGTTAGCAGTCAAATACCGTAGGCACTATGCCACCAGAGCACCTTAGTAAGTGGTAGAGCAGCTTAATGCTAATATGAAACTTCCAAGTAGCCAATGGGGCTAATTGAGGGGAACTATTGAGTGTTGTGTGAATGAGCAAAAAATAGTAATATAGTCAATTCCATCAAGTATTTTTAAAAAACACTGTAGGGAATTGTGCTAAGTAGTGTAAGAGGTACAAAGAAGTAAACCATTTTAAGGCGCTCTGGTGGTGCAATGGTTAAGCTCTGAGCTGTTAACCAAAAGGTCATCGGTTCACACTTACTAGTGGCTTTGTGGAAGAAACGACCTATGCGTTTGCTCCCATAAAAGATTATAGCCTTGGAAATCCTAGGCCAGTTCTGCTCTGTCCTGTAGAGGCACTGAGTCAGAATCAATGGCACACAACAGTAACAGTTGAGGAGAAAACCATGAAAAATTAAATTACAGAGAAAGAAGCTTAAGAAATGACATATCAAATGATTGGCGGAGACCAATAAGGCCGTGCATTTAGAGGAAAGCAGGAAGGTTGTGGGTTCAGATCACCTTGAAAATCTAATAAACTCTTGCTGTGGCTCTTCTCTAGCCCAGAATAGAGCAGAATAATGCTTGGGGAGTGGGAACGAGGACCTGTCCCAGGTGGGAGAGGAGGGACTGTGTCTGTGGCCTCATCTCTGCCCCTTTGGGTCTCACTTTATCTTCTTGATTCCCACTGACCGGAAGAGTATCCTGCTCTTTAAACTGTGACCTAGTTCTGGGCACAAATCAAAAGTCCTTTCCGGCACTCTCCTGGGTGTAGCTGAGATAGGATAAAGTGTTCACAAAAATTGTCCTGTCTGAAGGTCCCACCCGTTTAAAGTTTAGGTGATCCCCATTGTGTTTCCTGCTGTGTCCCCACCCTCTCACAGGAAGGCCTGCAGTCACACAGTGGATGGCAGATGGAGCCACGGGCCCATTGCTCAGTGGACAGTGGTCATCCTTCATAGGCTTTGCTTTTACAAAGTCTGTGTGTGCAGGGAGGCCCTTCCCTGCTCCATGTGTTGGCTACAGAGCGAGTATGGTATGATGGTTACAGAACGTGCAGCGAGGAGTCACACAGACCTCACTGCACATCCTGCCTCTCGCTTACTCGCTGTGTGACATTGGGTAAGCTGTTTTAACATCAGTGAACCCCAGTTTTGTCATTGTAAAGTGAGAATGATAATTATTCTTACTTCCTAAGACCGTTACGTGGTTTAGTGAAGTGCTTCATTTGATACCTGGTACCTAGAAAGCACAATAAACATTGGCTCTTACTGTAACAGACTTCTGACATTGAAAAGAGGTGAAGGGCAGGTAGCATTTAAACTTAGCTCTGAGGGATAAGTAGGACTGGTAAAAGCTGAGAGGATTAAATAGATAAGGCATATTTAGGAAATTGTGATTAGACTTAACTTTGGTGGGTAGGTGATGTTTATGTAAGGGGTTGATGGGAAATGAAGCTTGAGTGGGAAATTAGAACCAGATAGTGGAGGGTATTGACAGCAAGCATTTAGGAGGGATGATCTGAGAGTAAGGTAGGAATTGTGGGGTGGGAGGTAGGGGAAAACATAAGGACAGGGACCCAGCAGGAAGAAGTTGTACGTCACGGGCCTAGATGGCAGTGGGTTTGGGTTTTTTGGGTTTGGTGCTTGGAGAGTGAATGTAAGGAAGGGTGAGTCCAAGAATAAAAGATTTTGAGCCTGAGTGACTGAGATATTAGGAGAATGTTCTATTCATTAACTGCCACTATAAGCAGCAAGAGGATGGCAGGGGGAGCTGGAGTCATTTGGGGAGTTCCTAATTCTTTCATTCAAAAGAATAAAAGTTAAACTGTGTGCCAGGTGCACACAGTCTAGGAGACAAGTACAAAGAAGAGTCCTTGCCCTTGAAGAACTTAAAATTAATGGGAAGGTGTGGATAGGCACTGCAGCTAAATAAGGGAATGGACTATAAGGTGGGAAGCAGGCGTGCACGTAAGGGTAGTCAAAGGAGGAGAGACTTCATTGGGGAAGTCAAGAGAGATTTCTGCATCTTGAAGAACAAATACTTGATTAATAGGGTTGATACAGTGAGAGGTTGTTCACAGCAAAGGGGCGAAGGTGAAAAATCACATCCCATCTTTAGAGAACATTAATCAGCCAAATAGACTGAAAGATGGGGACCACTGCTAAGAAGAGTATTTGGAAATAAGACTGGAAAAGTAGAGTAGGGTGTGTCAGGAAGGCTCTTGGATAAATGCCGATTGGTCGGTAACAGGGATTCAGGATTCGTTGAAGATAGTTGACGAGAAGGATGAAATGATCAGGCGTGATTGGCAACACTGTGCCGACACTGATGTGTTGTTTATATTGGAACAGGGAGGAATTGGAGAAACGATGACATTGGTCTAAAAACCCACCGCCAGCAATTCATAGCAACCCCCACTGAGTTTCCAAGGCTGTAAATTTTGTGGAAGTAAATTGCCTCATTTTCCTCCCTCAAAGCAGCTGGTGGGTTTGAACCCCTAACCTTCTGGTTGGCAGCCAAATGCCTTAACCAACTACGCCCCCAGAGCTCCTTTGATAATAGTCTAGGCAGGAGATGAAACACAAAGCCAGTTGCCATTAAGTTGGTTTCCGCTAGTGCTGACCCCCGTGTGTCAGTGGAAGGGTGTGCTCCAAAGGGCTTTCAGTGGCTGGTTTATCAGAAGTCGATCACCAGGCCTTTCTTCCAACTCACCTCTGGGTGGATGCCAGCCTCCAACCTTTTGGTTAACCGTTTGTACCAGCCATAGGCTGCAGACGGGATAAAGTGTGGGAGGCATAACAGGAAAAGATACAGTCTTTTGCTTTTCAGAATGAAATGAAAGAAACTAAGGCTTATAGGAATTATGTAGCCTTCATTTGGGAAAAGCTAACCAAAGGCATGAAATCTTGGACCGCTGTACTCCCTGGCTCTTCCTGTTGAGATCCTGTTTACTCCTGATGCCCCAGCTCCAAGGGGACCTCTTCCTCAAAGCTCCTTGTCAACCCACCAGTTTCTTGGCCCTCAGGGCTCCTCTAGCACTGCTGTTGAACCCTCCTTAGAACATTTGGGGCATTTTCCTTAGTGCTGTGATTGTGTGTGAAGACAGGAGTCATGCTTCTCGTGGTTTTGTTCCCTTCAATCCAGCAGGATGCCTTGCATTTTGTAGATCAGCAGGAAGTGTTTGGGAAACAGTAAGGGTAGCAGTAAGGACTTCAGCAGTAACACTCATCTGAAGTTGAAAAGCCAAGAGTTCTGATGGGATCAGTGGCAAGAATACAGTTGCAATAGGACTTTAGCCACATTCAAATCATTGGAAAAATGATCTAATTCCCAGGTTTGCTGTAAATTTATATAAAAAGCCTTTTAGTGAATATAGTGTTTTTTACTACTATACACTGTTATTTTAACAAAGATTTCTGTTTCTCATTCAAGCAAAAACATGAAATAGAACAACTGCTCTGTGACGAATCTCAGATTAAACCGTACTGCTGTGATTCAAACAGTAGTCTCCAAGCTGTTTCGGCCACACATTCCTATCAGTAAAAACAATTGTCTGTAAAAATGTATATACACACCATCTATACACGTTACCAATCTTTTATAGAACAAAGCAAAGACTACATTAAATTGTGCTATTTTAAAATAACGTATGTTAGTAAAAGCACATGAATATTTTTCTACTAAAATTGATCATTTTTTAAGTGAGAACCGTGTGATTAAAAATGCTTCGCGATTTTGAAACTCTTGGTTCAACTCACAGTGATACAGCAATTGGATGGTGTGTTTCTAAGACTTCCGTTTGCTACTTAGTTTTGATGGCTGTCCCAGGTGGGGAAGATACTTCACAAAGATTTGTAAGTACAAGTGAAAGACTTAATGTTGTCAGCTCTACTTAGTAACATGATTGGTCCTATCCACCAACCATGCTCAAGTTTTGTTGTTGAAGTTCAGCTGGTACGTGTCCCTTTTCCAAAGCCTGAAAGCAGTTATTCTTACAAAGTAATCAGAAGGTGATGTTTTGTATTTTTAACAAATGGGCTCAAGACCTGTTGAAATTCTTCATTTGGAAGATTTTTAAACCTGTCAGAAAATATTTCCAAATTTTTGACAGTTAGACTTACATAACAGTAGGAACATCTCCCATCCTACATCTGTTTCCATAATTGTTCCTTCCTCACACTTTTTTAAGCAGCTCCTTTCTTACTCATTGGTTGGCTTCGTGTTTGGTGCAGAGAACATTGGGGTTTGCCTCGTGATCTGGCTCCAGAAGACTCTCTACTCAGCTCAAAGCTTCAACTGGGCCGTTTTTTTTGTTCACATGTCTTTGCGTCATTAGTATTTCCTCTGGTTGTAATTTCTCTGCAAGAGTCTTTAAGCCACCTGTCTCATTCTGAAGATGTGATTAATTAAAGCTAATAAAATAATCCAGTAGTCTACATAACTGGCCCCCAGTAAACTGATATGTGACAGTATCTGAGAGTTAACAGTGAGTGAGGATGCCCTGTCAACTCCTGTGCAGTGGGGCTCTGGCTCTTCTCTTGGGGTGCATCACATGCCCTGTGTGACATGTGACAGTTTAGTACTTAACACCAAGTGACGGAGGGCATTGACTTGTTTGTACATTAAATACAGCTTGATATCTCTCTCTTACTTCTACAATAGAAAGAAACATTCTGATATTTTCTTCCTACGCCCCCAAGTGCGTCATCTTGTACTTGGGAGACTACAACTTTAAGGCTTACTAAGGCACCCATAGAAATAGCAAGGTGGTACATTAGCAAGGCCTGAGGTCTCAAGCTTGGCTTGAAGGTTGCACGTGATCCTGAACCCCATTACTTATGCTTTTCAAGCCTCAGTTACATCATTAGTAAAATGATGCTAATAGTTCAGCCTTCTGCTCGGGTGTATGGAGCATGAAATAAGGTCGTGTAGAGACTGCTGAAAGCCCGGGGCCTGGCATGCTGCTGTCATTCAGCTGCCACTGGCTAAGTACTGTAAATGGATGATTTCGTGACCTGCTGCCTACCAGGCAGACGTAAGGTGCTCTGACTCTAGGCAGACACCCCAAGGGTAGAATTTGCCTGGTTGAGGTTTCTGTTTGCAGACCTCCCTATTTATAATGACAGTGGAGCAGTATAGCTCACATTGCTTTTCTGTTCAGAGGCATTCTTAGTGAGTTGCCTTGGTGTCTAGCGGCCCAGGCTAGTTTGTAACAGCACTAATCGCTTGTTTTTAATACCTCAGGACTAGTGCAGAGAGGCAAATCAGAAAGCATCTCCTGGGACAGAAGGGACAGCGCAGACGCTATTAGGATCAAGGCTGGACGATGACTGCTGAATCAAGGGAAGCCACAGGTCTGTCCCCCCAGGCTACGCAGGACAAGGATGGTATTGTCATAGTGAAGGTAGAAGAGGAAGATGAGGAAGATCACATGTGGGGGCAGGATTCCAGCTCGCAGGAGACGCCGCCTCCTGACCCAGAGATATTCCGCCAACGTTTCAGGCACTTCTGTTACCAGAACACTTTTGGGCCTCGAGAGGCTCTGAGTCGACTTAAGGAGCTTTGTCATCAGTGGCTGCGACCCGAGGTCAACACCAAGGAGCAGATCCTGGAGCTTCTGGTGCTGGAGCAGTTCCTCTCCATTCTGCCCAAGGAGCTTCAGGTCTGGCTGCAGGAGTACCGGCCAGACAGCGGAGAGGAGGCCGTGACCCTTTTGGAGGATTTGGAGCTTGATCTGTCAGGGCAGCAGGTAAGAAGGGGCAAGAGCGATTTTGTGTGAGCCGAGTGTGGACTTGGAGGCTGGAGTAAGGAGAAAAAGTGACAGGCGTTAGTTACCCTCGGTGCCGCCCGCGCATGGTAAAGCATGTTCCTGCCTTTGCTGCCCCCAGCAGCCACCGCTGTACTTCTGTTCTTGAATATATTCACTCCTGCTTGGAAAAGTGATTTGCTCACCAGCCCAACCTGTTTGTCATCAGGTCCCAGGTCAAGTTCATGGGCCTGAGATGCTCGCAAGGGGGATGGTGCCTCTGGATCCGGCACAGGAGTCTTCCAGCTTTGAGCTCCATCCCGAGGCCACCCAATCACATCTCAAGCATTCATCTCGGAAACCCCGCCTCTTACAATCTCGGGGTAAGGAGCAAGATTTCATATGGGGAGAAAGCAGGTAACTGCGTAAGTTGAAATGCGATTTAACTGTCCAGGAGGGGAGTGTCCCCTCTCTGTGCTGCTGAGTGCCTGTGACGAAAAAACGTGCCTGTTTTTATTACAATACATGATTATCATTATTCCTAAATACTGGGAGAAGTGAAACTTAAAGACCCATCTCAGGAGTTGAATTATGTTACTAAAGAAGGAACTGGAATATGCTTAATAACCTTGGATGGACATCACATTATTTATTTATTGAATTGTTAGCATTCCGAATGTCTAGCAGATTTTTAACAGAAAGGTGTTAGAAAGAGATGGTCTGTTATTTCCAGCCTGGGTTTTGAAACATTCCAGTATGTTGTAAATTATCTTAAAAAGGATCATGAATCTTTAAAATCTATAAAAAGAATATGTGACATCACTTTCCTCAAAGTTCTTTAAAAAAAAAAAAAAAATTGTCCAGAAGATCAAACAATGAGAAAGTATGAAAAATAAAATTGTTTTTGGTTGAGGAAAATGAGAGAAAAAATAAACCTCAAGATCATGTAAATTAGAATCAATTTAATTTGTTTTTTTCTTTTGAGAAAAATATATTTTTATCCATTTTTAAAAATCAAAGGTGCATAAAATGACAATAAGACAAATAATACAAGTAGAGTTAGTCAGGAGGAGTCGGTGAAGGCATGTTCCTTAAGCTCTCTGTTAATTTGTGAAGATGTGTGGGATAAGAATATCACATAGGTATGGAGCTTGAGGAGGGTCTCTCGTCTGCGTTTCTGAGGATAACAGAGGCGTGCTGGAGAGAGCTGCGTAATCAATGCGCTGTTGTGTTTAACTGCAACACCCTTACTACCCTCCTAGGGCTCTGACATTTTCTGTATTCAAGCAAAGTCAGAGAAACTGGAAGGGGGCTGTTCGTGGTCCTGGATGCCAGATTAGAGCTTGAGGTGTCAGAGCAGTCATTTGAGAGACCCTGGTGTATAAAATCGTCATTCGATAAATAGTCCTTGAATGAATTGGGGCATACGCATGTATACTCAGTGTCCTTTTTGTCCTGTTCAGCTTTCAGAGAGTTTTCTAATTCACAGAAGGTCAAAGTACTAGATACTTGGCCTTTTTGTACATTTTGCTTTCGCTTATCTTCTTCTACAGTTTAAAGTAGTTACAGAGGTTAATAATTCAGCTTCATATTCATATCTCTAATAGCTTCACAGCTTAGTAAACTCATCCATTTACCAATAACATTTCCAAATCTGATAGTACTTGTGATGCAGGTGGATTTTAATTTTACAGTTTAAAATTTTTCTAATTCTTCCTACTACTCAGTTAGAGTGATCATATATTAGTCTTTATATATAAGAGTGCCACTCCATACTTCCATCTACTTAGGAATGTCTCAACATCATTTGATCCGTGTATACATTTAATTAAACAACTGTCTATTGTGACCAAATGAGGGAGAAAGTAGAGGAATGGAAAGTGGTGAGACTTACTCAGAGGTAAGAAGACCCTTTCCTACCTGCCTTTCAAGACCTTCCTGGAGAGTTTCAAAGGTGCATTGCCTTTTTCACAGCTGTAGGCGTAAATGGAATTCTGGTATCCTGGTGTGGACTGGAGAAGAATGAAGAGCCAGAGTTGCCTCATGGGCTGAATTATCACTCACTTCTGTAGAAGAGGCAAAGGTCCTGGTTTCTAGTCCTGGCTCTACCACTCTTAATTCCATGACGTCAGGCGGGTCATTGATCCTCTCAGGGCCTCGGTTCCTCTTTAAAACAGAAGGGTTGGACTGGGCGATGTTAAGGACCTTTATGATTCCTATGACTCTTGCTTGAGATTTGAAGTCTTTGGACAGCAGAGATCGTACTTTGTCGATTTTGTCTTCTCTCTAGTTAGTTATTCTGTAATTGAACGTTGAACATGGTAGTGCAGAAAAGAGAGTGGCCTTGCGTCCTTCTTTGAAGGGAACGCAGAGCAGAGTTGGTTTTATTCACAGCTCCTTTCTCTTCCCTCAGCTCTCCCTGCTTCCCACATTCCAGCCTCTCAGCCTGAGGGGGGTCCCAGAGACCAGGCGATGGCGTCTGCACTGCTCACGGCAGATTCCCAGGTGAGCTGTGGGCCCTCTGCCCTCCAAAGTCCTTTGTGCCTTCTCTTCCTGGAGCTCTTTTATCATCGCCACCCAGGACAGTCACTCTTGCTGCCCTTGCCCACAAGGAAGTCCCACAACCCACTCTCCATTTGCCGTATTTCCACTGCAAACCCGAGAGCCTGTTAAGGCCACATTTTCTTTCCCTGACTCCAGGTTTGGGCACTGGGGTTGTCCCTGAGCTTCAGAGAAACTGAGTGTGGGGATCTCCTGTTATTTCAGGCAATGGTAAAGATCGAGGACATGGCCGTGTCCCTCATCTTGGAGGAATGGGGATGTCAGAACCTGGCTCGGCGGACTCTCAGTAGGGACAACGGGCAGGAGGCTTACGGGAACATGTTTTCCCAGGGTAAGACTGATGCAGGCTCACTGTCGGATGAGATGGCTCTGCCTGTTTGTTAGTTGTGGGATCTCTGATATACTCATTTGAGGGTGGATGAGGACTTAGAGAATTCTGATGCCCTTTTTTTAAACCAGGTAGAGAAAACATTTGTGTTCATCTAACCCTATAAGTACGATACTGTGACTTCTTGGTTCAGTGTTTTTTAATCTCTGCGTAGTTTTTGCTCTGAGTTCTCACCTCTTCAACCCCTTAGTTAACTGGGGAAGCTTCTGCTCCACTCCTGGTGGGTTATAATAGGTCCCCTTCTAGAGGAGCACCTGTCCCTCCTAATGGAGACAGCCAGGTGACCTGATCATCAGTCTAAGCACATGCTTGAACCTACCAAGCCTCCTTTCATGGACTTCGTTTTCTTTCATTCTGTGTGAGCAGTGCTCAGGGATAACTATGGAAGTCCACGAACTTGCCCCGTACCTTTCTTATGATCAGGATTCCCAGTTTCCCAGCCTAATCATGACCTTTTCTGAGGAGCTCTGGGTCCTGGATGCTTAGTAAGGAGGGAACAAGAAGTCCTTAGAGGTGTCATCCAGATGACAAGGTGACACAGTTGATTGTCTCTTCTGCTATGCTTCCTTCCTCGTCAGTTCAACATTAGCTTACCAAGCAGCAAATGCGAAAGAATTTGTTTTGGAATGTTCCCATGTCTCTCTCCTAGACCTTAACCCTTAAGAGAGTGCTACAAAGAATCCCTCAAGTAAGGACGGTGATAGGCAGGTCCACAGTGAACCTGCTACCTGGGAAGAAAGAAGGGGGAGTGAATAAAGGGATGTTACTAAAGAAACTTTCAAGTTTTGTTTTGAACCAGAGGGACAAATGGGATTTATGGTTTCTTGGTACTTGTTCTTTGGACTGGATGAAAATTAAGCCAAAGAAGACATTGGGAATAGCCTGGAAACTATCCAGATAGCCAAGAACTTTGGCTTGAAATCTAAAAGAAATAGACCAATTTCTTCATTTTTGCAACTGGGTCCAGTATTTATGATGATTCCATCACTAGAGTCGGGGGTGGGTATGATTCAGCTCCTTGGGTAAGTTGCCCTCAGAGGCCTATTCAGCATAGCACAGGCTCACTTCCTTAGGCTTCCTAACACCATGGAAATGAAGAACAGAATTGGGGTCCTTTGGTTTTTCTAGACAAATGTAAATATACATAAATGGTTAATAAGCAATTTTCAATTTCCATTTAAAAGCAAAGTGATACAAGAATGTAGTATACAAAACTAAATAAGTAAATCCCAGTGTTTAAGTGCACTGATTGCTAAAATGAAAGGATAAAGCTCTACCTTTGTGAGTTTTTGTTTTCTTTCATTATCTCATTCATAGTCTATCTCAGGAATTATTTTCAGTTTCTTCCGTAGTTTCTGTTATTCTCAGTTGTTTGTCAGTGAATGCTTTAATTATGTTTACTAATGCCCCAACAAGGAGCCCTGGTAGCACAGTGGTTAAGTGCTTGGCTGCAAACCAAAAAGTTGATGGTTCGAACCCACAAGCCACTCCGTGGGAGAAAGATAAGGCACTCTGCTTCTGTAAAGATTTACAGCTTTGGAAACCCTGTAGGGTCACTATGAGTTGCGATTGATTCGATGATAATGGGGTTGTTTGTTGTTAATGTCCCAACCAGCTTCTTCACTATCACCCCCCAATCTGTTCCTTGAGTATTTTCAGTCCTATACTGGTCTCCTGGCAGAGAGGAACCATTTTCTGTTTTTGAAGGTCCATGTAGCCTACCAAGCTCCTAGTTTTGCCTGGTAACACCTTGTTGATAAGAATGTCACAGAACTGAAGTATTCCTTTTTATAACTACATTCCTTTCTTTTTGGTAATACTATTTACCACTTTCTTGGAAAGACCTGTTCATTCTGTTTTTTGAACTAAATACTTCTTAAAAACAGAACATTTAAACATGTATGTTTCTTACTTCAAATTAATTACAAGGTAACCAAATCAGAGACCTGTGATCCTTTGGTTTCTTCATTCCTCATCCTTTCCTTGACTAGTTCTGGTCCTTCTGCTCCTTCCCCGGTGTCCCTCTTTATTCTTAGCCTCTCTGTTTGCCCCTCTCTTGGTCCGTCCCCGTCCTTTCCACTCTTCCCTGCCCTCTCATTTTCCAGCTCTTCCTGTTGTTTTTATTATTTTCCCCTCCTACCTGATCTCCAATTAATATTGCAGAGTCATTTTGCAGGCCATAGAAACTTCCTAGAAAACCGTGTTACTTGATTAACCTATATATTCAAAAGAAAAAGGTGCTATTAGTATTTTCTATTTATCGTGTCAGGTTGTGGAAACAGGAATGAGGAGGAGTCAACCTCAAAGGCTAAAACTGCAGAAGACTCGGCATCACATGGGGAAACAAAGGGAAGATTCCAGAAAGTATTTGGGGAAAAACGTGAACAGAAAGGCAGAACAATAGAAAGGCAGCAGAAGAACTCTGAGGAGAAAAGTGGAAGAGAGAAGAAAGATTTGGAGCCAGCCACAGTCAAGGGGAAAAAACCCACCACAGGAGAGAGAGGCCCAAGGGAGAAAGGTAAAGGATTGGGGAGAAGCTTCAGTTTGAGTTCAAACTTTAATACCCCTGAAGAAGTCCCAACGGGAACCAAGTCTCATAGATGTGATGAATGTGGCAAGTGTTTCACAAGGAGTTCCAGCCTTATCCGCCATAAAATAATCCATACTGGAGAAAAGCCCTATGAATGTAATGAGTGTGGGAAAGCCTTCAGTCTTAACTCAAACCTTGTGCTACATCAGAGAATCCACACAGGAGAGAAGCCTCATGAATGTAATGAGTGTGGCAAAGCCTTCAGTCATAGTTCAAATCTCATTCTGCACCAGAGGATCCACTCTGGAGAGAAACCTTATGAATGTAATGAGTGTGGGAAGGCCTTCAGCCAGAGCTCAGACCTGACTAAACATCAGAGGATCCACACAGGAGAAAAACCCTATGAGTGTAGTGAGTGTGGGAAAGCTTTCAACCGAAACTCATACCTAATTTTGCATCGGCGAATTCATACCAGAGAAAAACCTTACAAGTGCACTAAATGTGGCAAGGCCTTCACGCGGAGCTCAACCCTCACTCTGCACCACAGGATTCATACCAGAGAGAGAGCCTCCGATTATACCCCAGCCTCCCTTGATGCGTTTGGAGCGTTCCTGAAGAGTTGTGTGTAAGGGGAGAATTTGTCCGCAAGCCATTTCGCCCTTTTGTTTCTAAAATTCTTGAGAGATGTGTGCCCACAGAGGGTAAAACAAGGCCTCAAAAATATAAAAAAGCCCAACAAAATCACATGTAAGGATCTTATTGTACATCAGAAGTGTTCTGCCTTTTTGTAGTCTGCAGGCATGTAATTCTTCCGCACAGCCTCTGCAGGGAAAACCTCGTCACGTGGATAACCCACATATTTCCACACAAGATGAAAGCGTATACACAGTAATGAGGATACCTTTAAGGCCCCACAACCATAGCATAAAAAGTGAAAGTCATTAAAATTGGCTCTGAGAAAATGATACTGAGGTTAAGAAGCTACTTGCTGCAAACAAGCCCTTCTTGGCCAACATCTTTCTCAAAAAGGAGGGACAGTTTTAACAAATTACATTTGGACATGCTGCTCAAACTAGTTACATGTACAATAATTTATATGTATGATCACTGGTAGCCTACCAAAGCTATAGAAATCTAGGACTGTGCTGATTGGTATCAAACCAAAGATTTCTATCTCATCCTGAAAGGGGGGGTATGTGCACCAGTCTGCAGTTCCAAAGGACTACAACAAATGTAGATGGTTCCATCCTCATCACTGAGGTAAATTCTACTGAAACAGCAGAAACAATTCAAAACAAACATTTCCCTTCTTGAAGTCCCTAAAGCACTGTAGCACTCCTAAATGCATTTCTCCACAATTGTGCACTTGATTGTATATTGTCTTTAAATTCTTAATTGTTTCATGTATGTAAGTTTTTGTCTACCCCCAGAAGAGAATTTCAGTTGTCAAGGGGTGTGTTGATATCCTTCGCAGCACTGAACACAGTGCTACATCCGTAAGAGGCACCCATTATGACTGAATTCTAACAGAGCTTTTCCATTTACGAGAAAGTCTTGGGAATCGCAAGTACCTGGAATACCGTAACCTGGCCCAACTTTGGAAGAGGACCTTCAGCGTCATATGCCATGCTAAAGCTCTAGGGTCTACAGCTAATTTTGTCCTAAATATAAAGGAAAAGCACTGGTTAGCTGCCCACCTAGACTCCTAAAGATGGATCCGTGAGTAAATACACGAGGTGGCAGAAATGACTCTGTTGTCATCACCTTTTAAAAGTACATGAACATGAAGGCCATTTTTCTGACATCTTTCTATGGCAAAGGTTTTAGCCAGAATTCACTTTAGTCAGCTGCTGAACAACGGGATGATTTGGGCACTTTTTGAAACACTTGTAACTAGATAATATAGTTAAGAAGATTCAATTTTTTTTTTTTTTCTTCAGGAAAAGGAAAGTTGTAGGGAGCAGTTTTTCCATACTTTTCAAAAATTTTGCAGAAGCATTTGACATTACTCCCTGGAAGTTACTAAACATGTTTTGTTGCTCTATAAAGTTCACCAGCGTAACAAGATGTGGTATTGGTCATATCATAGCCATAATGCACAGTGTCTTTTCTGTGCATTTTTTCCTTTTTTCATCATTAAAGAGGTGAGGCTATAAAACTAACCTTTCATCATCTGAGCAGGAGGCCGCAATTGGCTGCCTAGAAGTTAATGATGGAAACTTTTCACATACACACAGGAGACCCCAGCATCATGGGCTATATAGGGAGTCGTCAAGACTTGGGTAGATGACTCTGCTCATGAAGACAGACGAATGATTATGGAAAGCCCTGCAGAAACTTAGAAACATAAACTAAAACCAGAGACTATCATGACCCCATAACTGGAGAACCTCACATGCAGTCTGAGATTTTCCTTCAAGAAACAACTAAAACTCATCAGTTGTTCACTGAGCAACAACTAAAAAGTCCATGAGGCAACATAGCTTCATGGTGAGCCAATGAGATGGGGTCATATGTGGTCTGAGCTTCAGACCAGACTGTAGTTCTGCATAGCAGTAATCCTTTGGCCTCTCCTTGGCTCTATAACTTGAACGAACCACAGCTGCCCAATAGCTTCCAAGCAGTTTTATCACTGTTGCCTGGGAAACGTCAAGAAGTAAGTCAACTGGTTACCAGAATATTTCTGTTCATCCAATGTAAGAAAAACTGAAGAGATACTCTGAAAGAGTATACCTAAGTACCTTCTTATAGTAAAGTGGAGGTCAAAGAAATACTTGAAGGATTTTCTTCCAAGAGTAAGCCACAGTGATGGTTGCATAGAGAACCTGCTCCTGTCTTGGAACAAGGACTTTTGCCTGCTCAAAGGCAACTGAAAGCAGGGATGTGCATATTAACTCCAGGCACCAATCAAAGCACTGACCCCTTTGTTCTTAGAAAAGAACTTGGGTTGGTCCCACATTGACCTTTTTTTTTCTTTTTAAAGCCACAGCTACATGCTGATGACAGAATTCATCCTTTTTTTTTTTTTTTTTTTAAAGAAAAAAAAATGTTGTTAAATGTAACCAGTGCCCCCTCCATTCAATGCCTATTTTATTGGGACATCATACTGACTTGGTAGGGTAGCCACTGAGGTTGCTTCAGATCTTCTGCTGCTACACTCCCAGAAGAAGCTGTTGGAAGACATGTTTCTGAGAAAATCTCAGAGAGCAACTGTTTATTAAAACCATTTCTGTTGCATTTATTATCAAATGCTCAGTGCAAAGTGTAATTGGGTCATGATGCAGAAGGCTTGTAATGCCTAATTAGTGCTTGGGATAATCATTCAAAAATTGGAATCTGTTCACCATTTAAGTGCTCTAGAGTTACTTAGTGGCATGCTCGTCGACCTAGATTCCCAACTTTGCCAGGAAGAGAAGTAAAATTCGTCAAGTTGTGGCATACTTCCTCATTTCTATTCCAGCTGCGCAGACAAGGCTCAAACCTGGGAATACCAATGTAGAAGGCATCTTGATACGTGAGGCACTTGATGTTTTATTAAAGTTCTAAAAGTGAAACTGCTACATAAGTGCAGAGATACTGACGTTGGACGTGTGGAACAGTTCACATAGACATCAGAGAATTCATTCCAGAAAGGAACCTCTTAAATGTGATAAATACGGCAAAGCCTTTAATCACACTTCCGTCCTTAGCATCAGAAAACTTAGAATTGTAAATAAACTTTATTAATGTTATGTGTGAGGAAAATTTTCCTGTTCCGCACTCATTGCATTGGACAGAAAGTGAATTCCATCAGTATGTTCCAATCATGTAATGAATTTCAGAAACACTGCAGAGCAAGCTCAGTCTGGACAACTCCACAGGATCCGCAGAGAGCAGAATTGTGGGGAAATGCTCAAGAGAGAGCAAAACGTACAACTTCTTACACAAATTGTCGAGTACTTCCCATACATTGGTGTGGCCACAGTGTCGGTGTCCGTGTTTTATACCTCCAACTTCTGTTACTCTGTAAATTCCCTGTAAACAGGTTATGTATTTTATTTTAATCTGTCTGACAGAACACATCACTCCCAAAGAGTGAGTGAGTAGTGAAGAAGTTGGCGTGGTTAGAGACGAAAAGTCAGTTCACAGAACCAAGGAGGGGGAAAATTATTTAAAAAAAAAAAAAAAAAGCTTCCTAATTTGTTGCTTATCAAATCAAGAAGACAGATCAGTAAATCCAGTGGGAAAGAAAGGGCAGTAAAGTGGAACAATCCTGTAGACATGGCAGCTTCCGGAGAGTTTTTCTCTCGAGAAGCAGGAAGTGGGTCTCTTAGCTGCCAGGCGGCGTGAGAGGGGCTTCTCCACGAATTGAGAGCAGGAAGTATACTGCATAGTCCAGTGGGACCACTTAGCTTGCCTAGTCTGTAAACCATAGTCCCGCTTCCCCTACTGTCTCAAACTGCTTAGAAAATACGGAATAGGAAAACACCATGGTGGGCTTTTTCCTGGAAGATAAGCACAGATGCATCCAGTTCCTGGCACTGCAGGAAGCTTTTGGGACAAGGCCAAAGAAACAGCTTTGCAGGATCCCCTTTGGCCGTGTGCCTACATGCCTTCCCCTTGTTTATGATTATTAGGAGAGAGAGCTTGTAAAGATTCATAGGTATGAAATTTCTTTTTTAAAAAATTTTTTATCCTAGAGTCATCTTTATTCCAGTGTCTAGTCATTCTAATCTCATCCAGAGCTAACCAGCTCAGTCTACCATGTGCATGGAGGACTCACGATGTGAATTGGGGAAACAGTATAATACAGAGGAAACCGGTGACAGCAGTGCTTGGCAGAGGAGCCATATTTCTGTGAGTCCCGCTCGGAGCAGCGTCTCAGAAATGTTTACGAGGGGGCCAGGGTTCCCCATCTGGGAAACGAAGGTCTGCAAATTGCAAAGTGAAATACAGAATCAAAGAACAGGAAATTCAGATCTTTTCTTAGAAATAGTTTTTTTTTTAATTTCAATTACTCCTGGAGAATTTGATTAAAAGCATTGTTTGAAAAGTTTTCCTAACATAAGTTTCACTTTTAGGATGGACACACTACATATAAAAGCAATTACTTACTTTGCTATGCAGGTTAATTTTAAAAAATTATATCGGAAAATGAAATCTGTTTTCCTTTTGAAAGCTTTGTAAAAACAAACTTGAAGTTACAGGGACCTAAGCCATTTCCAGTGGTACAGGTCAAACAAAAATGTGGGAGAAATACTTTGGACATCCTATAATACAGAATATCTTAACATGAGAACTGGGTTTCATACTTTTGGGGTCTATTTAATATTGGACACCACAGAGCTCACACCTTTCTCTGTTACCATAAAACAGTGGAGAGTGAAGAGTGGACAATAGGTAGACTTCCAGACTATGGTCTGCTATTACTTTAACAGCTGCATTTTCTGATCTTTGAAATTTACTAAATAATCATGACTTATAATACAGTAATCAGCAAAGTTCAGGTTGCGTTTCCTCCTTTCACTGAGCACTCATTAAGCTGTGAGGCTGAGTGTCTTAAGATCTAGAGTGAGCTCTGTGAGTGATTGGAAGGTGGTATTGAAACTTGGATTTCATTCCAGTTTCAGACTTGAGTTTTATGTTCCTTTGGTTTAGGAAAGGAACCAGGCAGCTGCAGTAGCCCCAAATCCATCGGTCTCCTGACCACCTG